CACAGCTGATCACGTTGTAAAAGGCCCCCGTGATTGGCCTTTTACTTTGTCATGTGATCAGCTGTGTCCAGAGGATACAGCGATCACAGACAGTGCTGGGTGTGAACCGCTGGGGGTGCGCGTTCTGGGAGGACGACATATGATGCCCTCCCAGAACTGGACAACCCCGTTGTAGCTGTCATTCGACTATAGCCCAGTTGTCAAGTGGTTAAAGATGGTGGGAGAGCAGCCATATTGTTAGTTAATTGAAAACTACTGGAGGAAAAGTATAGAAATCACTGGAGTTTAGCCATCCTGTCGAGGCCTTTTAACATAGCTGAAGGCCCTGAAACCTGGAAAGCCAGAGAGAAGATGCTGACATGGGAATTAGGCCATCTTGGCTAGGCCATTTGGGACAGCTGAAGGCCTTCAACCTGGAAGAAGCCAGGGAGAAAATGTTGATGTGGGAATTAGGCCATTCTGAATAGGCCATTTAAGATAGCTGAGAGCCTTGAACCTTGAAGAAGCCATGTAGAAGATGTTGGCATGGGACGTAAGCCAACCTGGCTAGGCCATTTAAGATAACTGAAGGTCTTGAATCTGGAAGAAGTTAAGGAAAAGATATTAGGCATGAGAGTTAAATCATTCCTGGCCAGGCCACTCAAGATTGCTGAAAACTGAGAAGCCACGGAGAAGATGTTGATGTGGGAATTAGGGCATTCTGAATAGGCCATTTATATGATAGCTGAGATCCTTGAACCTTGAAGAAGCCATTGAGAAATCATCCTGGCCAGGCCACTCAAGATTTCCAAAAAACTGAGAAGCCAGGGAGAAAGATGTCTGCATGGGAGCTCGCAGGACAAACATTGCTGGAGGGGAAATGAGTACCTTAATGTAATTAACTCTGGTACACATGCGCTGGAGTTGCATCATTCTGATCAAGCCAATTAGGATGCCCCCGAAAGACCTCCAACCTGAAAGAAGCAGGAGAGGAGATTTTGGCATGGGAGCTTGCAGACAGTGCATCACTGGAGGGGACATGACTATTGAAAGGTTTAGTTGTGCTTTAAAGAACTTTAACATTACACAGCTGTAATGACGAACCGACCCAGTCTGGGCTTGGGTACTTCCGTTAGAATACCGCTTCCCCAATTGAACACCGACCCACAGACACCACAGCCGACCAAAAAAGACTAGACGACACCAGTCTGTCTGAACATGGAACTCTTTATTTGAAACTCGAGCTGGCTTTTTATACACTCAGGGACAACCCCCCCCCTCCCTGCATAATGACACAGGGTTTGGGAAATATACTTAGCAACAAGAGGAACAACAGGTATACAAACTTCACACCAGCCAGACACAGTCCCATCAGGAGGGAGGGCTGCTGGAGAACCCCCCACTAAGCTAATACACATAAACACATACAGTTGCAAGAAAAAGTATGTGAACCCCTTGGATTACGTGGAGTTTTGCATGATAAATTGGGCATATAATGTGCTCTGAACGTCATCTAAGTCAACAATAGAAGAAACACAGTCTGCTGAACATAATAATACACAAAACATTAGATGTTGCCATGGTTTAATTGCAACATAACATGTAAAATTCACAGTGCAGGGAGGAAAAAGTATGTGAACCTTTGGAACTTAATAACTGGTTGACCCATCCTTTGGCAGCAATAACCTCAACCAAACGTTTTCCTGTAGTTGCAGATCAGACCTGCACAACGATCTGGAGTTCATTTTGGACCCCATTCCTCTTCACAAAACTGTTTCAGTGTAGCAATAATTCTGGGATGTCTGGTGTGAATCGCTCTCTTAAGGTCATGCCACAGCATTTCAATCGGGTTGAGGTCAGGACTCTGACTGGGCCACTCCAGAAGGCGTATTCTGTGCTGTTGCAGCCATTGTTTTGTTGAATTACTTGTATGCTTTGGGTCATTGTCCTGTTGCATCACCCATCCTCTGCGGAGCTTCAGTTGGCGGACAGATGGTCGTACGTTTTCCTGCAAAATGTCTTGATAAACTCTGGAATTCATTTTCCCATCAATGACAAACAATCCGTCCAGGCCCTGAGGCAGCAAAGCAGCCCCAAACATGATGCTCCCTCCGCCATGTTTCACAGTGGGGATGAGGTTTTGATGTTGGTGTGCTGTGCCTTTTTTTCTCCACACATAGTGTTGTGTGTTCTTCCCAAACAAACTCAATCTTGGTTTCATCTGTCCACAGTATATTTTGCCAGTAGTGCTGTGGAACATTCAGGTGCTCTTTTGCAAACTTCAAAACGTGCTGCAATATTCTTTTTGGACAGCAATGGCTTCCTCCGTGGTGTCCTCCCATGTACTCCATTCTTGTTTAATGTTTTCCTTATTGTACGATGTGTCAACAAAAATGTTAGCATGTGCCAGAGATTTTGTAGGTCTTTAGCTGACACTCTGGGATTCTTCTTTACTCATGCAGCATTCTGCGCTGTGCTCTTGCAGTCATTTTTACAGGACGACCAAAGCCTAGGGAGAGTAGCAACAGTGCTAAAACTTTCTCCATTTGTAGACAGTCTGTCTTACCGTGGACACATGAACATCAAGGCTTTTGGAGATACTTTTGTAACCCTTTCCAGCTTCATGCAAGTCAACAATTCTTGATCGTAGGTCTTCTGAGAGCTCTTTTCTGCGAGGCATGGTTCACATCAGACAGTGCTTCTTGAAACCAGTAAACCCAAAACAGGTGTGTGTTTTTTAAGGGCAGGACAGCTGTCAGCAACACATCCAATATCATCACACTGATTGGAGTCAAGGTTGGCTCACTCCTGGCTCCAATTAGCTCTGGGAGAAGTCATTAAGCTAGGGCCTCACATTCTTTTTTCCTCCCTGCACTGTGAATGTTTACATGTTATGTGCAATTAAACCATGGCAACATCTAATGTTTGTGTAGTATTATGTTCAGCAGACTGTGGTTCTTCTTATTGTTGTGACTTAGATGACGTTCAGAGCACATTTTATGCCCAATTCATGCAAAACTCCACGTAAATCCAAGGGGTTCACATACTTTTTCTTGCAACTGTACATCCCATGAAACTTTTTCTTCCTTCTTTTAATGTAAAACTTCACCCTGAACTCATTGGATTGTTAATTTAGAGCAGAAAAAGAGCATTAGGAGCTCAGTAAGGATTTATATTGATTCCTGCATCCCTGATGAAAACAGAAAAAATATGAGAAGTGTCTCCCCACTGGGAGCAGCATTTTCTTACTTTTCTTCACATCTTGTTATGGAACCGACCCCGGTCTGCACTTGGGTACTTCCATTAGGACTCCCCACTTCCCCATCCAAACCCCGACCATCAGGACACCACCGCCGACCATACAAGACTAGACCGGGCACCAGTCTTGAAGGAAAAACCAGGAAATAGACTACCTTATTTTAACACAGATACAAGAATAATACTACATTCAAGGGAACAAACCCCCCTCCCTGCATAATGACACAGGGCGGGGCAATCTACATTTAGTAACAAGAGACACACCTGCAGACAGTCCCATCAGGAGGGCGCAGGCCGTGGCTGCTGGAGACACCCCCCACCACAAGCTAATACACACTTAAACACCATACATCCCCATATTAGTTTGCCTCCAAGCAAGACACATAATTAGAACAATTTGGATGCAACCACATGGCATTAAACCAATCAACAACCCCCTCCCCATTATTAGGACACAGATCACCCTGTACCCCCAAACAGGCACAGGGTGACTTACAACATAAGAGGGACTATGGGGAGCTGAGACAGGGTCTCCCACCTCTCCAAAGTGAGCTGTGTTCCATGGACCCCCCCCCCACCCAAAGTGACTCCCGTCACAACAGCAAAGACTATGATCACTAAACAAATACCACAACAGATTGTGTAAAAATCTATGACGATGGGTTGGATCAGATTGAAAGATATCAGTTGAAAATGACTCCGAGTGTTTTCAAGTGCCCCCCCATGTAGATTTTGACAATTCTGTCACATTTCCTTCAGGCGGTGTGTTTCACCTGACGCGATAATGTGTTCATGAATGTGCTATTAGTGCAATAAATCTCTTATTTCCCAATTTAGTCACTGTATTAATTACTGTGCCAAGGCTGACGGGGAGGTGAAATACAAATCACAGAAAGGTTTTAATGTGAGACTCACGCCTCGGGCCCTCGTGTAGGCTCACAGGGCCTTGAATATGATTAACATTGCCAACGTAAGGGAAATGAGCCCAACAACGGTTGTGAGCTGTAGAAGGGAGGGGTAGATGCCTCCTCTCCGTATCATTCATTCTATACATATAATACAGCCTCCTTTTCATTATTGCACTTAAATTTCCCATATGGGGAATTGTATGACTGTGATATAGACATTAACGTATAATCTCTTCATGATTGGAAGTGATGGCAATGATTTAAAGATGGAAAAATTGTCAGCATTATATATAAATTAAGGAAATAAATCAATATATCAAACCTCTCTGCCAATCACCACTCTAATATATGCAGTTTAGGTTTTATATTAGATACCGAAGAGAATACATTATTAAAGATTAGGGCCATCAATTTTTGATTAAATAATTGTTTTTTTTTCCTTAGAGTAGGTACGACCAAATATTTAATGAGAATATTGATTAAATATTTGGTCTGTGAGATCTTCCCATCATAAATTTCAATTCTGTCCCAATTCCATTGCGATGTCAAATGATGGTGACTCCCTCCCCCCCGAATGGATTTTCCGTAAGGTAGAAAAAAAGTTATCAAGGGAATCCAGGTGAAAGAGAGTGACATCTTTAATGTGGTCTTGTGGGAGGGGCAGAGACAAAGTACTGCTCGGTACTCTCATCAATGTGGGAGGGGCAGAGACAAAGTACTGCTGGGTACTCTCATCAATGTGGGAGGGGCAGAGACAAAGTACTGCTAACTACTCATCATTGTACTAACCTTCTCATCATCATTGTGGGAGGGGACAGATCCACAAACTACAGCTGGGTAATCTCATCATTGTGGGAGGGGCAGAGACACAAACTACAGCTGGGTACTCTCATCATTGTGGGAGGGGCAGAGACACAAACTACTGCTGGGAGATCTCATCATTGTGGGAGGGGCAGAGACACAAACTACAGCTGGGTACTCTCATCATTTTGGGAGGGGAAGACACAAACCACTGTAGGGAAATCTCACCATTGTGGGAGAGGCAGAGACACGAAGTAGTGCAGGAAATCTCACCATTGTGGGAGGGGCAGAGACACAAACTACTGCAGGAAACCTTTCCATTGTGGGAGGGGCAGAGACACAAAGGTGTTAATAAACATATAAAGATCTGGTTTCCACTTGGGACCATGAGTAGGTACTTTGTTTCAAAATGTTTATGTTTATTTACACCTATCCATTTTTTGTACAATTTACATTTATTTATATGGGTTGGTAACTTCAAAACCCCACTAGTTTTTTCTTGGTTAGGCTCCTATTCAATACAATTCTCATTAGGGGTGTGGTACCAGTAAAACCGTGTTCACAAGGGTATGGAGAGTCTTTTTTACTCCATCTCCCACTTCTTATACATTTAATACAGCAGGGAAATCTCACCACGTAGAGAGGGGCACCACGTAGTGCAGGAAATCTCCCCATTGTGGGAGGGGCAGAGACACAAACTACTGCAGGGAAAACTCCCTATTGTGGGAGGGGCAGAGACACAAAGTAGTGCAGGAAACCTCCCCATTGTGGGAGGGGCAGAGACAAACTACTGCAGGGAAAACTCCCCATTGTGGGAGGGGCAGAGACACAAAGTAGTGCAGGAAACCTCCCCATTGTGGGAGGGGTAGAGACACAAAGTAGTGCAGGAAACCTCCCCATTGTGGGAGGGGCAGAGACACAAACTACTGCAGGAAACCTCCCCATTGTGGGAGAGGCAGAAACACAAACTACTGCAGGGAAATCTCACCATTGTGGGAGGGGCAGAGACACAAACTACTGCAGGAAATCTCCCCATTGTGGGAGGGGCAGAGACACAAACTACTGCAGGGAGATCTCCCCATTGTGGAAGGGGCAGAGACACAAACTACTGCAGGAAATCTCCCCATTGTGGGAGGGGCAGAGACACAAACTACAGGGGGAGATCTCCCCATTGTGGGAGGGGCAGAGACAAAGTACTGAAGGGAAATTGAACACCTTTTATTTGGTTAAAAAAAGAACCACCAACAGGTGGAACATGATCATCAAACATATACAGTACATGGAAAGTCATAAAATACAATTGATGAGACCTGGCCACAGTCATTGTTACTGATGTCCTAGATGCAAAAAAGGCGTCACGGGCATCAGCTACATATAACTGACAGCTATAGGCTCAACACATCAAGGCTAGGCTGTGGATAATGATAGACATAATGGTACATGGCTAACAACCTGGAAACATGAAGTGATACTTGGTTGGCATAGAATACCTAAACAGATAGTATCATAGGTGTTAATAAACATATAAAGATCTGGTTTACACTTGGGATCATGAGTAGGTACTTTGTTTCAAAATGTTTTTGTTTATTAAACACCTATGATACTATCTGTTTAGGTATTCTATGCCAACCAAGTATCACTTCATGTCTCCAGGTTGTTAGCTATGTATCATTATCCACAGCCTAGCCTTGATGTGTTGAGCCTATAGCTGTCAGTTATATGTAGCTGTTGCCCGTGACGCCTTTTTTGCTTCTAGGACATCAGTAACAATGACTGTGGCCAGGTCTCATCAATTGTATTTTATGACTTTCCATGTATACGTTTGATGATCATGTTCCACCTGTTGGTGGTTCTCTTTTTGAACCTAATAAAAGGTGTTCAATTTTACTAATTGTCATTACATTTTTGTACAATTTACATTTATTTATATGGGTTGGTACCTTCAAAGCCCCACTAGTTTTTCTTGGTTAGGTTCCTATTCAATACAATTCTCATTAGGGGTGTGGTACCAGTAAAAAACCGTGTTCACAAGGGTATGGAGAGTCATTTTTTCTCCATCTCCCACGTCTTATACATTTAATACAGCAGGGAAAATCTCACCATTGTGGGAGGGGCAGAGACACCACGTAGTGCAGGAAATCTCACCATTGTGGGAGGGGCAGAGACACAAACTACTGCAGGGAAAACTCCCCATTGTGGGAGGGGCAGAGACACAAAGTACTGCAGAAAAGCTCACCATTGTGGGAGGGGCAGAGACACAAAGTACTGCAGGAATCTCCCCATTGTGGGAGGGGTAGATACACACAGTACTGCAGGAATCTCCCCATTGTGGGAGGGGCAGAGACACAAACTACTGTAGGGAAATCTCCCCATTGTGGGAGGGGCAATAACACAAAGTACTGCAGGAATCTCCCCATTGTGGGAGGGGAAGAGACACAAAGTGCTGCAGGAAATCTCCCCATTGTGGGAGGGGCACAGACACAAAGTACCCCAGGAAATCTCACCATTGTGGGAGGAGCAGAGACAAACTACTGCTGGGAAATCTCCCCATTGTGGGAGGGGCAGAGACACAAAGTACTGCAGGAAATCTCACCATTGTGGGAGGAGCAGAGACAGAAACTACTAAAGGAAATCTCACCATTGTGGGAGGGGCACAGACACAAAGTACCCCAGGAAATCTCACCATTGTGGGAGGAGCAGAGACACAAACTACTAAAGGAAATCTCACCATTGTGGGAGGGGCAGAGACACAAAGTACTGCATGAAATCTCCCCATTGTGGGTGGGGCAGAGACACAAACTACTGCAGTAAATCTCACCATTGTGGGAGGGGCAGAAAAACACAAAGTACTGCAGGAAAAACTCACCATTGTGGGAGGGGCAGCTGACACCACATAGTGCAGGAAATCTCACCATTGTGGGAGGGGTAGAGACACAAACTACAGAATGTTTGGCCTCCTTCAAACCTTGCATTGAGTAGTCCCACTGGACCTTCTTCATCATACAATTCCAAGACTTCTCCCTTCTTGAGAGATATTTGTTTTTGGCTCTGAAACCAAAGCCTGGAAGCAACCTGATGTTTCTTGCAAGTTGATGAGAAACATGAGTATAATGCTAAATGAAAAAACGGTTTAGTATTCACAATTATTCACAATTATTCACAAGCTAAAGTTGTTAAAATAGGTTAACTAAGGCTTTACTAATCCTTCCATCTTTGAATGACTCTAGTGTAGGTTACCTACAGCCCTTTACTTGGCCTTAAAGACCAGGTCCATGGGGGAGGCATTTCATGTGCCTCCTTTACCTAATCTATCTCCTTGTTTTTTTTCTCTTCTCTACCCTCACCTTTCTTCTTTTGTCACTCATCACTGCTATTTTGTTCCTTCCCCCTATCCCACCTTTAATTCCTTCCTTCCATTACCTCGCCTGTAATCCCTTCTTTCCTTCTTTCCCTCTTCTCACACCCCTTACAGTAGTCTGTGGACCAGTAGGATTCCCATATTGTTTGGCACCTATAGGACCCAGCTGTATTACCTTCAACGTAATGTCCTGGATGACTACTTGTGTGCTGCTTTCTTATGAATATTCTTGTGTAATACCATACTCTTACAAGATATTCTAGGCCTTGCTTGGGACTCATTGCCTTCATTTTATCCTTTATCCAGAACAAAATACTCTAAGAGGTGCTGATAATTTTATACTTGCATTTGTAATCAGATAAAGGAAAACTTCAATGAAGCTGAATAACTCTGGTGAAGTGGCTACCAAACGACAAGACTTAACTTGATGGGCACCCAAGTGTAGCTTAAAAAATAGAAATACAGAATGGACCACCAGACAAAAACTAAAGAGTCCAAGATGATTTTAATTGGTGGTAGAAAAAAAAGTAATTATATGGCTTTTGATTAACCACCAATTAAGATGATCTTGGACTTTTTTTTATCTGGTTTTGGTCTGGTGCTCCTTTCTTTATTTTTGTGATTTTAGTTACTGTTGGATGTCTATTGGGGGGGGGGGAAGTATTGCTATGCTGTAGCTGGCTTGCTCATCGGGTGCTCCTTTCTGTAGTTCTATCATTTTTCTCTTTATTTATTTTTATTATAGGTACTTATATAGAACTATCAATTTACACAGCACTTTATATATATTGTACATTCACATCAGTCCCTAACCCTCAAGGAGCGTGCAATGTAAGGTCCCTAACTCACATTCATACATACACATACTAGGGCCAATTTATCTACCAGCATGTCTTTGGAGTGTGGGAGGAAACCAGAGGAAACCAATGCAGGCTCCGGGAGCACATGAAAACTCCAGGCAGGTGGTGCCATGGTTAGGATTCAAACCAATGAGCCTAGTGCTGTCAGGCAGAAGTGTTAACTATTTAGCCACTGTGCTGTCCTTTATAACCAATAACAATGATTCTAGTGTCAGAAAGTTGGGTCTCTTTTAGAGGTCATGGGTCTTACAGCAGGACAATAGCCAAAGCACACGTCAAAAAGCACACAGAAATGGTTTCAGACAAAGCGCTGGAGGGGAATGAACTGGCCAGCAGTGAGTCCAGAACTCAATACCATAGAGGTCCTGTGGAGAAATCTCAGAACAGCAGTTGAGAAAAGGAACCGTTCCAATCTGAGAGACGTGGAGCAGTTGGCGAAAGAGAGTGGTCCAAAATTTCAGTAGAGAGGTGGAAGAAACTCATTGATGGTTACAGGAAGCCATTGATTTCAGTTATTTTTTTCCAAGGGGTGTGTTACTAAATATTACATTGAGGTTGCCAATGATTTTGTCCTGTCCGTTTTTGGGTTTTGCGTTGAATGTGTCAGATTTGACTTTTTGTTTCTCCACTTTTTTGGGTCATACCAATACAAAAAAAAAAAAATAAACATGAGAATGCTGAAACATTTGTAAGTGCAAAAATTTTCTGGGAGAAGTGGTGCATTATACAGTTGCAAGAAAAAGTATGTGAACCCCTTGGGATTACGTGACGTTTTGCATGAATTGGGCATAAAATGTGCTCTGAACGTCATCTAAGTCACAACAATAGAAGAACACAGTCTGCTGAACATAATACTACACAAACATTAGATGTTGCCATGGTTTAATTGCACATAGCATGTAAACATTCACAGTGCAGGGAGGAAAAAGTATGTGAACCTTTGGACTTAATAACTGGTTGACCCTCCTTTGGCAGCAATAACCTCAACCAAACATTTCCTGTAGTTGCAGATCAGACCTGCACAACGATCTGGAGTCATTTTGGACCACTCCTCTTCACAAAACTGTTTCAGTGTAGCAATATTCTTGGGATGTCTGGTGTGAATCACTCTCTTAAGGTCATGCCACAGCATTTCAATCGGGTTGAGGTCAGGACTCTGACTGGGCCACTCCAGAAGGCGTATTCTGTGCTGTTGCAGCCATTGTTTTGTTGAATGACTTTTATGCTTTGGGTCATTGTCCTGTGCATCACCCATCCTCTGCGGAGCTTCAGTTGGCGGACAGATGGTCGTACGTTTTCCTGCAAAATGTCTTGATAAACTCTGGAATTCATTTTCCCATCAATGACAACAATCCCTCCAGGCCCTGAGGCAGCAAAGCAGCCCCAAACCATGATGCTCCCTCCGCCATGTTTCACAGTGGGGATGAGGTTTTGATGTTGGTGTGCTGTGCCTTTTTTTTCTCCACACATAGTGTTGTGTGTTCTTCCCAAACAACTCAATCTTGGTTTCATCTGTCCACAGTATATTTTTCCAGTAGTGCTGTGGAACATCCAGGTGCTCTTTCGCAAACTTCAAACGTGCTGCAATATTCTTTTTGGACAGCAATGGCTTCCTCCGTGGTGTCCTCCCATGTACTCCATTCTTGTTTAATGTTTTCCTTATTGTAGATGTGTCAACAAAAATGTTAGCATGTGCCAGAGATTTCTTTAGGTCTTTAGCTGACACTCTGGGATTCTTCTTTACCTCGTGCAGCATTCTTCGCTGTGCT